AAACGCTATAATTCACAACGAACGTCTCACGTGCCCGACTCAACAATACTCTGTCCGCAGTTCAATAACACATTGTTTCCGTCGCTTCTTGGCCGGTCGTATATATACAAGACTACCCCATATGTAGTAGTCTCCCGACACTTCATGAACGTTCTAGAAGCGCGTGGCGTGTTACTAGCGTCACGTGACCTCCGCTGTCGTAACAATATGCTACCCAGAAGCAGAAAACTCATACCAGGAGCTAATAACAATACATCTACATCTAGTTACAGAAGCACAGTGGAACCAAGCACCTTGGCATGTTCTGAGGAATTGATGATTAGAAGATCTCTCATGGACCTGAAGAATAAAGATGTCATACTTGACTTTATCCAAGAAAAACATAAATCATCTTGAGATAAAACGAAAAGTCATTGAGATGCCAATGCTGATAAAACTCGATTTCATCAAGGTGGCATGTTATTTCTGAACAATTCTAATTGCCAGAATGGACAAATTCCAAAGTTAAGTAAATGTTTAGAAAGGCCATACATTTTACTTTAAAGAGTCAGTGATATGATTACAGAAACGAAAAGGATAGGCAGTCTGGGTCAAAGGCCAACCACTGTTATCGTCATTGGAAGTATGTTGGCAAGTGGACAGCCAACATGGTTACTCTAGAGAAGAAGATGCCTTTAGAAGAGCCCAGATTTCCTGTCGAGGCTACTTCTAAAGGATCAATAAGGGTAAAGCTGCCAGTGAATTCATTCGACGACATAGGAAGAACTCATCCAGCGAAAGGATTGCCAGTGACAATAACGAACAAAAGTCATTCCATCTGCATACCATAGGCCTAGAAAAAGAAAACCACCAAAAATACTAACTGAATGGACGGTTCAATGTTGTGCTTAAATGTTTGTATTAGTATTGTTCAAGAGACTTTACAATCCAGGAAGGAGACAGTGCTATAAGTAATATATTTTCAATCTTTTAATTTAGATATTATCTAGAGGGCGCATGAGTTAAGGTCTTAAACTGCATTAAGATTATATGAATGTATTAGTTATAAATATGAATGAGTAATCAGTTCATAGAGTACCAGTCAGAGTGAAATATTTGATGAAAAGTTACCGCATCTGTTCTGTTATTCAGTTACTTGACGAATTACGTGTTTATTAATCAAAGCTAAACTAGTTAAGTTAGGCGTACGTCTCGCAGTTTATATTAACAAGTTGTATTTGAGGTTAAGCCTACATTTAGTTGTGCCATTAGTGTTAAAATATTTGTGCTGTTATGACTAAAACTGTGTACATTTGAATGTTATCTGTAGAAACGTTACGAAAAGAATGAAATAATTTAATTATCAGAAAAAAAACTGTGTTTTTAGAATTCACAAGTTTTATCAGTTATACATAGTAAAACATTTGTTTATTTTACATACAGTGTTTCACCAGGTTTACCTGGCATCATCAGTTCTTGTATTCCACCAGATGATGCCAGGCAAACCTGGTGAAACGTTGTGTGTAAAATAAACAAAAGATTTGCTATATACAACCGATAAAAACTTGTGTGAATAAACTAATTTCTCATTTTCATGTGAATTGGACATTGCATTATAAGTTGTGATTAATATGATTTTTTAAATCCAAAATTCTGAATAACAAGTATAGAGTTTTAGTGGGAATTTCTAACCTTTAAATACTGATTTGAGAAATTTTGAATCTATTTTTGGCAGTCACTTTGCAAATTTATAAAATAATTACAATAGATGTAACAGGAAAGTACCATTTCGATTAATGAAGTAACATCTATGATCATTCATAGTACCCATTTGTGAAAGAATAAAAAAAAACACAAATCAACATTTCATACAACTCAGCTCAATTTACTACAGGCCTCCTGGTACAAGTACTATGGTTTGGTTGTATTAAAATAATTTTTAAGCCTCTAATTTCATAGTATACCAAGAATAATTCCCAATTAGATATTTATTAAATTTCACTGTGAAAAGAAAAGACTACTTCCAGAAACATCTAAATGAGTGCTGAAGTTGTTTCTTATCCTCAACTTTTATTTAGCTCCTCTCGTCAACTGCTTTTCACAGTTCTAAAAAAAACAAAACAAAACACAACAAATCTTAACAATTTCCATATCACCACTATTTTGATACAAAATCATTTCCAATTATTTTTAAGTTATATCTTTTCTCTTACTTAAAGCAACGCACAATTTTAAATGTGGTTTAAGTGCGGTTCAGAAATCTATTGAGAATTGTTTGTTTGAAGTTAAGCACAAAGCTACACAATGGGTTATCTGTGCTCTACCCACAACGGGTATCTAAACCCGGTTTCTAGCATTGTAAGTCCGCAGACATACCGCTGTGCCACTGGGGGACACCTATTGAGAAATAATAATTCAGAAATGGAGTGGTATAGGAAAATAATTGCTAATGGTATGGAATGGGGATGTTGTGGCATTACTATATGACAATGTCATTGAGGTATATTCAAGATCACATCCTTCAGAAACCCCCCAGTGGCACAGCGGTATATCTGCGGACTTACAACGCTAGAATCCGGGTTTCGATACCCGTGGTGGGCAGAGCACAGATAGCCCATTGTGTAGCTTTGTGCTTAATTACAAACAAAACAAATCCTTCAGAATGTTTAATAATATGTATTATATACCCACAGTGTCCATGACAAAGTTGTAGACAATAACAAATTTAATATTTTAAATGAAATATTACCTCAAGTACAAACATTGTAAGCAAAAGTACACCTCTTCCATGCACGTGGAGTTGTGCAACAGAAAAAGAAAATCTGATCATAGCAAAAGTTGTTAAACAACCTTAAGTTTGAAGCAAAGGGTCAACATTTTGCATATTATGAAAGTCGAAAAGGCTAAAATATTAAAATATAAGCCTCCTAAATTAGGTGGCAAGCAAGCATTGTGCTGTAACTGCTACCAAATCATTTAAATAATGGAACAGTTTAATATGATCATAGTGTGTGTGGAGGGTGTCACTAGGATGCTCGGCTGCCGCCGGATTGTAGGCAGAACAGTTTGCAGATGAACGTCATCCTTCACATCATTTAATAGAAAATGTGTTTTTGTGGCTGTATATTGCCGGCAGGCTCATTTACTCATAGACCTTTGTGACCAGACCAAGAACATTAGCCAGCACTTTGAACACAGCTATTGATTGTTTGCCACCATTTCATAATACTATAACTATTATCTATAACTATTATTATTATAGTGCAATTTTGATAAATCTTTACAACTGAAGTTTTGGGATATGTTTCGAAGAGCATGACCTTGAAGCTGACCTTAATGACCTCAGTGATCTGTCACGTGGTAGGCCTACTAAACCGCATTTTACATCAATAATAATTATTTTCCTATACCTCTCCATTCTTGAATTATTTGCTCCTCGACGGATTTCAGAAAACCCCGATATAATCAACATACTAAATATTACTTATTGATTGCCATATGTAGATGACTATAAATTTTAATTCCTTTTTTGCGTTTTACTTACGTCATTCAGGCATTCCATTGTTTTTTCATACTGCAAAAAGGAATAGAAAACAAATTTTAGTAAACACGATATCAAACTGTTTAATAAAATCTGCACACTAACTCTGTGAAACATAAATATTTTTAAAATAAATCGAACACAGTATCTAATTCAAAACAAGTCCGGAATATCAAATCACTTAACTAATTTGATAAGCAAAAAACAATAAAGGAAAAACTACATAATGAGTGTGATAAACATCAAACCTAAGACAAAAACTACATTAAATTATCTACATAAACTACATAACGATTCTCATAAACATTATAAAAATATATAACTAAACTGCATAATGTTTCTTCTAAATATTCAGTCATCTATACAAACTACACAATTATCATAAACATTAAATAATCAATATAAACTACATAATGAGTGTAATAAACATGAAACCTACAATATTTACTATATAATAAATGTAGTAAACACAAAATATACAGAACGTAATGAATGTAGTAAGCAAGTTATATAATCTAAAGTCATAATGAATCAAGCAGACATAAGATTCTCAATAGAAAGTAAATACTGGGTGTAATAAATCTGAAGTACATAAAACAACTTACGTAATAAGTGTACTAAACATAAGTTTTACAACATAAACTACGTAGTGAATCGAGTAAAGAATATATCCAGAGGTGAGCCCAGACTTAAATTGTGACTGCTGCATGAATGGGGGATTGAGTGAGAAACATCCCTGGCGGTTACAGAATGGTGGAGACCCTCATTCCAAAGTTTGCATTTTCTGTGGTCTGAAACCAGCTTAGAATGATCTCCATTACAGAAGAATCCAAAAACATGCATATTGTTTTAACCATGAAATTAATGTCACTGTATAATATATTTCGGTAACGTTCATTGTACTCGAGATTACTTAAACATATCGAAATGATTCACTGATAATAGTCACCAATGACTAAGTTACACAGGGTGCAGAATGCAGCTATAAAAAGAGCAACAAGAACAACCAAAACAACAATTTCTGAAATCCCATCGTTTGGCTTGATTTTCTCTAGAACTTAGTGCTTCTTCTTCTATATATCTAGTACAGAATCAACCACTCTCAGAATATATTTATCCCATTGCTCTGTTACTGGAAGTGGTCGAATAATATTGACACTAATAGAACTAAAGACTTTGCTAATATCTGGTAACTTAATCATTGGGCTTTTCACTTCCATGTCCTTCTTACAAGTTAGTTGACATCCCTGACAGCTCTTCATAAGTCTCTATATCTCCAAACATACGTGGGCAGTGGCAGTTGTTACTGATCCTTTCTTTTGTTTTAGCTATACCTAAAAGTCCAGTCAGTACTGCATCATGCCCTAACTCTAATACTATCTGTCTACATTCCTTTGGGAATACTATTACATCACTCCTATTACACTTATGTCTTGACACTCCTTCCTGCCAGTAACAATGATTATGCTCTTGTTTACTTACTTCCAGTTCCTCTACCACGGCTTCACTGTGGCATTTATCCAAACTCTCATATTCTAACTGCCATTTGATTATTTAGTCTTGATCCATATTCCCTGTTCTAACAGCAGTTATTTGTATTCTTCATGATTCATTTCTTCAGTAACTCTGTTCAGAGTTTTCTCTAATCTCATTTGTTATCTGGCTATTTTAGCTACGTGTTACCACAGCTACTAGAGTATTTTGCAACCCCATAGCTTCATTCTCATTACCAAGCAAAAACGAAGGTGGGATATCATCCGGCACCCCTGCGACTGTCTCACCTTCCGAAGCTTGAAATTTCAATATGACTTTACCTAATGGTAGAGTATACCGAGCCCCTGCTGTTGTAGTGCTAAACCCAATTAAACTTAATGTATCACCTGTGAGTTGGTTATCTTTAACTAACTTTTTTCTTACCAGAGTTTATCAACTACAAGTATCCTTGTATACATTCATGACTTGCTCATTTATCATCACTTCTTCTAAATATTTATCTGAAATTTTCTCTCTGTCTTCAATACAATGCATTAAAGTCTTCCTTCCTTCTGCAGTTTCCTTATTCTGCCTACAAAATTTAGCTATATGCCAAACTTGGTCACATATAAAATATTTTGTTGGAGATTTGTAGTCTCACTCTTATTTACAAAATCACTCTGTAGAATGGGTTTTTTTACAATTCTCAGTTAGTGCTGATCCAATTTTATTTGCTTGTGATAAGTAGTTCTACTAGTTTGGTTTTCACATACTTTCAACCCGTTATGTTTCCTCGTTGTTACATATTTATATTCATCCGCTAACGTCACTGTCTCGCATGTGTTTGCTAGCTTCCTATCTTTTAACCATGTTATTAACTGTGTTCGTAATTTTGTCGAAATCTGCTTTTGAAAGATTAAATCTACAATCTTGTCAGCATCTCCAGTACAATTAGGTCATTTGATCCATTTAATTAGCAACTTATGCAACCTTGTTTCGTATTCTTTAAATGCCTTATTTGTCGTTTTTACTAGCTCTCCGAACTTCCTGCAATGAGACTTACGACTTAACTCATACATCTCTAGAATAGCTGATTTCATTACTTCATGCTTTAATTCGTCTGTGCTCCCAATCTTATCGTATGCTGTTAAAGCTTTTACACGTATTAAAGGAATTATTTTCCTCACTGTACCCTGTGGTTGCCATTACCCTGCTTTTGTTATTTTTCAAACGCACATACAAATACATCTATATTACTTTCGCAAAGTTTATTTGGGCAACTACACATGGGTGCTTCTTTCATACATGCCAGCCCTAGCAAAAGAAATAAACTGCCTTTCACTCATCATCAACCATGAACTGCAATTCTTTCTCCTTATTCCTTTCTTCTAACTATAGCTCTAAGCGTTTCTTTCTCAGCTTCTATTTCCAATTGTTTATTCTCAGTTTCTACTTCAAGCATATATTTTGAGCTTCTACGTTTATATTCAGATTCTAAAGGTTTCATTTAGGTGACAAGCTCTTAATCATTACCATGATAACTTTCGCAAACACCACTGGTAGTTCTTGTATTTTCACTTAGCTCAAGGTTAAAAAAATCATCTATTGTGACTCTCATATCAGTTAAAACTTCATATATTGCTCTTTTTTTTTTCAGTTGTTACTAAATGTTATACTCAGTTCGCTATATTTGTTTCCCAACTAATTTTTTATTATTGATTCCCAATTATAATCCATGTTAGCGTTAATTCTCTACTCTTAAACAATGAACCACTACTAACAATTAACTGAACTACCATTAAACCAAAAACAGGCAAGATAAGAACAAAATGTAAACTTACTTTCTTTTCCGACTTCACTACTTCATCTAGTTGACTTTTCTCCTCAAATTTGAACTTCTCTTTCATTGTTGAGTTTCAATTCCTTACGAATTGATGAATCCTACTACCACTTTGTCACCACTTTTTTATGATTGTGCTTTACTAGCACTTTGCTTTCTCTCAACTTTATTAAGTTGTATTTAAAACTGGACAACATAGCCAAAGTCACTCATTAAATGGATATGTAAGCAGAGATTAACACTGATCATAACAACGGATAGCTCAGTAATGAAAGACGTGACTTGTCTGGGCAGAAGCCATTTAGAGAAATGGGCTTCTAATGTTTAAATGAATAACAGCAAAAAATCGGTGACTTCAGAGCAGAATATAAAGTATACAATAACATACTGTCTGATGGACCAATAACAGTGAAGGTCATGAGAGGATTCCACTCCTAACATACTCTCTAAACTTCATCACAAAACTGGATACATATTTTGTACAAAGAAAGTGGGTAAAACTTGAAGGTTCATCCGATAGCAACTTATATTCCAGGCTACAGTGGTGCAATATCATTCAATGAGAAATTGGACTACCTAGCTGGTAAAGCAAAGCCCTTAAGCGACCTGGTGAGATTTCCAAATGATGTCATCAGTGAAATAACATGTAGACTGAGGGAACAGGGGATGATAGAACAGGGATCACACTGATCAACTGGAAGACTAGGTAAAATAAGGTAGAAATATGGAGATTATTGAAAGAAAAAGTCTGTGCCGAGGCCAGTGGCAATTCGTCAAGCATAAATTAGTAGTAGAATAAAATTACAATCATCTTATTGGTTTGTTTATATGTAATTAAGCACAAAGCTACACAATGGGCTATCTGTGCTGGCATGGCCAGGTGGTTAGGGCGCTCGACTCGCAATCTGAGGATCGCGGGTTCCAATCCCCGTCACACTAAACATGTTCACCCTTTCAGCCGTGGCGGCGTTATAATGTGACGGTCAATCCCACTATTCGTTGGTAAAAGAGTAGTCCAAGAGTTGGTGGTGGGTGGTGATGACTAGCTGCCTTCCCTCTAGTCTTACACTGCTAAATTAGGGACGGCTAGCGCAGATAGCTCTCGTGTAGATTTGCGCGAAATTAAAAAACAAACAAACAGCGAGAGTATCCAGCTGATGAAAAATGCATTTTAATCTTCATAAAGATATATGTAAGAAAAGTATACTTAATTAGCTATACTGATGGCCATATTGATTTGTAGTTTCTTTCTAAGTACATTGCTTACTCTGATTGTTATTATTTACTTACTAAATAATGAGTATATTAAAGATTTAGTGTCGCAGCCCTTCTTAAAAAAGGACACCATATCGAAGAAGGGAAATTTCACAATTTTACATATATTTGTAAAATCTCGTACAGGAAAACGTTTATACATCCCAAGTCAGTCCAGAGCAATGCCCATATCCGCAATGTGAAGACTTTAGTTATGAAGAGAACCTCCATACCCATAAAACCACTGCGATAAAGGTTGCCATATCTTCTGGCACTCGTGACAAGATAATAAAGAATGATTTGTTGATGATGAAGGCTTACAATTTTTTCAGTTCCATCTCGGAATCAATGGCTGTTTTCATCAGAGAAACAGTCAAAGGAACTGGAATCACTACAAACCTATCCATAGTGGGCAAAGTACAGCTAGCCCATTGTGCAGCTTTGAGCTTTACAACAAACCAGCCATGTCCCTACCCCTCCCTCAAATGTATCTCTAGTAAATATTTGTGCCATGTGCATTAGACGGTCTATGAAATGTTTTTCAAGATTTGTAGTTTAAAATTGTCCTCACCATCCTTCAAATAAACGTGTTAAAATGGAAGTCATAGTGTTGGGCAATGATCCATTACCATAACTCTCAGTCTGAGCCTAATTGACAATAGAGAACGTAATCCAAGAATAGCACGAGACGTGGAGCATCGTTATTAGTATAGTACAGTATAGAAAAACAAACATATGAGTGAAGCAAGCATCAAATCTATATTAAAGACTATAATATGAGTGTACTAAACCTAAATTCTAACGCAGAGACTAGTTAAAGTACAAATTATTAATATTACTTACACAATGCCATAAACTTCATAAGTTGAACAAAAATTAAATCCACGATAATGAGAGTACTAAATAACTTTATATCTTCATTGAGAATTGCATTTAAGAATGTTCAAAAACAATACATAATAGCAATATCAGTTTAAAAAAGCAATGAGTATAATAAGATTATATACTGAAAATACATTCAGGCTATGTTCAAAATTTTCATTATGGTAATATTTTGTATTTCTTATTACAAAATATATTCTTGCCATATTGCGACATTTGTGTATGTTCTCAGTTTGACACTGTAAGAACCAACAGTAATCTCCCATCATCGCGGGATTCCATTGTTCTTGATATCGTTGTTCCATTGAAGAAATATCTTGGTGGAATTGCTCACCATGCTCATTACTCACTGCACCTAGATCATTTGGAAAGAAGACTAAATGGGAATGTAAGTTGTGCATCTTAAGTGACATCCTAGACCCCATTTTCCTGTAATTCTAGAGCACATGCAAAAAAGATATCTCAGTTCATTTTTGTTTCACTACTTTTTGGAAACTTGTGAGACAGATATCTGAAACCATTACCATTTAAATTCACTCCTTTTAAAATTATTCATGAGTCCCAGTTTAATATGAAGTGGGACAGAAATATATTTTGAGGATTCAATAAAGCTTGATACTTTATATTCCGTTTCCCTAGTATTTAATTCTCTCTCACAAGACATTTCTTTTTTTTGAAATTATTTTTATAATCTCAGCTGTCCCCAAAAAGCAACAATGTTTGGTATACACACTCTGCAGGCCTAGCAGGAGTGCAATAACTTTTAAATCATCATATATATTCCACCTGTGGTGATCATATTTGAGGGCCTCAAGTACAATTTTCATGCTTTGATAGGTTTCTTTCATATTCACAGCATGAGCAACAGGAATTGATGGTTTAGTGTTCCCATTGTGCAAAAGTACAACTTTAAGACTAGCTTTAAATGAATCGATAAAAGTTTCCATTCTTGAGGATAATGTTCTGTACCTAATTCTTCTATTAGTGCATCAACATCTGTACAGAAACACATGGTATCTTGCATGTGGTAGTGAGAAGCTAGACGTTGATGGCGACTTCAGTAAATTGAAACTCTTGTTTCTGGAGCTAATACATTCCATTGATGTAAACGAGAGCTAAGAAATTCCCCATGCTGCTTTGATAGAGACAAGACATGAATCACATAATTTAACTCTTTTTTTTGTGTGTGATCAGATGAAACAGTTTATGTTGTGGTGCCACAGAAATAGAATTACTAGATGAACAGGATGAAGCAGGTTAGCGTGGGAATGAAGCAAAAGTGGTGCAATTCGCTATAATCATATTGAAAATACCTAGCATATATGAACAATATACTTGGAATTTTACACCAATACAACATCGTCAGTGTTTAAAGTTATCAAAAATGTATGTCTTTTACCCATTCAACTGTCCAAGTAAACTTAACTTCAACTATAAATTTATTATACTGAGTTGATTGCATGGTATTTCACATAGTGCTGATAAAATATTGAGGTATTATAATAACATAAAACCTAGAGGTGATGGGCAAATTCTGACTATATTTTTTAAATCAGCACCATCAAATTACACCGAATCACTCGAGTTTTCTCCAGTAGCATTTCTTTTGTTCTCCAGTGTACTCAGCCTGCTTTCATACCTTTTTTTTTGCGGTATACCAATACAAAAACTACCTTATAGATTTACAATTATAATACTTACTCTATCCTCCTGTTACTTTCTTCTCTGCTTTATAACTTATATCTTCATAATAACTATCATATATTGATCAAAGTACGGTCTTTGATTAAGCACAGGGATTAAACATCCCAGCAGATATCTGCCCAGAAGAATCTCAGCAAATGTATTGTTTCATTTATTACGAATATCACAAATAATACCAGTTTTTACATTGCATATCTTCAGTCTATAAATAAGTTCCTACTAGTTTCATAACTATTAAATTCAAAGTTTTAAGTTTACAGTTATATATAATGACTTTATAAAGCGAACTTCGTTTACTACTTACCTTTTGTATTGTTATTGATATCAGTAATTTCCAGTGAGAGTACTGAAAGTATAATACATCCATGCACAATAATTCACGGATTAGAAAAGATCAAACGAAAAGTAATAGTTAGTCATAGGACAGAAAGTGTACTTACCAAACTAAAAGCTCTTCTCCAAGTTATCACTGGATATCGTCGTTTACGGCGCTGTAACCGTAAATTCTGTTTAGTGCACGTTTCAACAACTTGTTGGTCCTATATGTTGAAAATAAGCAAGGCTTTAGAGCGATTCAATCAATATATCTTAAAGCAAGATTTAGCAGACATGACTTAGGTGATCAGGGACGTAATTATTATTTTGTGTGTGTGTGTGGGGGGGGGGTTACAAACGTCAGGTTGGATTAACACATAAGCGATAGCAACCTTGTCTGCCCCCCTCCCCGACGAAGCCTTATGTGAAATGACGCTCCAGTGGGTGACTATAATATAATGCTTTTGAAAAAAACTGGGCAGTGCATAATAGTTCCTGATTAGTTATACTTCTTCATTAATCATGGTCTTAAAAAGGTTATCCTTTGAGACCGGGATGTGAAATGACGTTATAGTTCCAGAGATCGGCGCCAAAGGGCAGATAGTGTGTTTGGTACTAAGGTTCGTGTTGCTAGTGGGTGGATAGTTTCAAAGTGTAGGACGATGAGGTCATCAATTATGCTCGGGCTGATGATTGTTACGTAGTTTGGCGAGAAAACCATAACAGTGTGTTGTAGATTGTCAAGCTCAAATGCTCAACATGTATCAACGTGGGATTACGTCGTATTGAACAATGTTATGTTTTACATTTTGATTATTTGTATACCGTACTTCATGAATATTCATACACTACAATCTGTGTAGAGGTCTGTTTTCCATAAGACGTTCAAACACTAGATAGTTTATAACCTTCTTCAGCCGGTAGGGCAGTAGTTTACAGATTTACAACGCTAAAATCCGGGATTTGATTCCCCGCGGTGGACACAGCAGATAGCACAATGTGGCTTTGCTTTAAAACAAAACAAATGATCACATTATAAAAAAAAAATTATACTTCATTCTGTATAGTCTTCACATCATCGTTACGGACAACTTTATTTTTTCACTTCAATAAAAAAAACGTTTGAATACTTAAAATTAATATATTGTGTATTTAAGTTGAACCTGTTGTATAGCGTGTTTCATGATTTACTCATATATTAGTTTAATAGCAATCTAGACCTGGAAAGGACTATTTTTTCGTGTTAACATTCAAAATCTAAATATTCATACACTAACAATATACATTGACCTGAAAAGGCCTGTTTAATGTCGCCTTGTACGTAAAACGTTCAGACTTTACACATGTATCACTAACTGTAATGTACTGCAGTTTTACTTAAGGTTTTCTAAACGACAGTAGATGAAAAAAGCAAAAAAACTATTCACATACGTAATCTTCTTAGGATTTCTATTGCATTGTTACGTCTGTGTTCGTTTGTTAATTTTCCGTAGAAATTCTTCCCGAAGGAACTTCTACGATACAAGTCCTTTCTTAAATAAAACTAGTTTATTCTTTCTCAATTCAACTTTGCAATACACTTAATTTCCACAGTC